AGAAAAAAAGAAAGAATTCCACGCATTCTATCAGAACACAATGCAATAGAGCTTAAAATCAACACCGGAAGAAACTTATAACTACAAGAATTCATGGAGATTAAACAACACACTCCTGAATAATGAGTGAGTCAAGGGAGAAATTAAGAAGGAAATAAAAGAATTCCTGGAACACAACGAAAAGGACAATACAACACAACAAAACCTCTGAGACACTTTAAAAGCAGTTCTTAGAGGGAAGTGTATTGCTTTAAGAGCTTACATTAAAAAATCAGAAAGAACAAAAATAAATGACTTAACATCAACTCAAGACACTTGGAAAGCAACAACAAATGAAACCCAAACCCAACAGACAAGAAGAAATAACAAAAATTAAAACAGAAATTAATGAAATAGAAACAAGGAAAACAATAAAAAAATCAACAAATCCAAGAGCTGGTTCTTTGAAAAGGTAAGCAAGATTGACAGACCCTTAGCACAGTTAACCAAAAGAAATAAAGAGCACCTCCAAATCAATAAAATCAGAGACAGAAGGGGAAACATCACAGCAGACACCAGAAAGACACAGAACATTATAAGGGAATACTTTAAAAATCTATACACTACTAAATTTGGAAACCTAAAAGTAATGGATGTATATCTAAAATAATGGGCACCACCAAAGCTAAAACAAATCAACAGCTTAAACATACCCATAACACATAAGGAAATTGAAAAGTAATACAAAAAAATCCAGACTAAAAAAAAAGTCCAGGCCCAGATGGATTCCCAGCAAAATTCTACCAGACATAAATAAAAGCTTTATTCAATATTAGTTAACTTATTCAAAAAGATAGAAAAATAGGGAGAACTTCCAAATTCCTTCTATGAAGCCATCATCACTCTAATACCAAAACCAGGTAAAGAGACAACCAATATTCTTAATGAACATAGATGCAAAAATTCTCAACAAAATACTTGCAAACTGCATACAGACACACATCAAAAAGATCATCCACCATGATCAAGTCAGCTTTATCCCAGAGATGCAGGGATGATTCAATATATGTAAGTCAATAAACGTCATAAATCATATAAATGGACTCAAAGAACCACATGGTCATCTCAATAGATGCAGAGGTCTCTGATGAAATTCAACATGCATTTATGTTCAGAGTCCTGGAAGGAATTGGACTGCAGGGAACACACTTCAACATAATTAAAGCTACATACAACAAACCCACAGCCAACATAATTCTAAATCGAGGAAAACACACTAAAATTAGTAACTGGAAAAGGCTGTCCACTGTCTCCACTCCTTTTTAATATACTGCTTGAAACTCTTACATGAGGAATAAGACAAGAGAAGGAAATTAAAGAAGTGATAATTAGAAAAGATTAAATTGTCTCTTTAGGCAGATGATATATTATATCTAAGAGATGCCAAAAATTCCACCAGAAAACTAGAAATGATTAACACTTTCACTAAAGTGGCAGGTTACAAAATTAATCTACAAAAGTCAGTAGTCTTTCTATATACCAATAACAAGCAATCAGAAAAAGCACTCAAGGAAACTCTCCCATTCTCAATACCTTTAAAAAAATAAAATACTTAGGAATAAACCTCACCAAATGCATTAAAGATCTCTACAATGAAAATTTCAAAACTCTAAAGAAAGAGATAGAGGAAGACACTAGGAGATGGAAAGACCTACCATGCTCATGGATTGGTAGAATCAACATTGTGAAAACGACCATCTTACCAAAAGCAATTTATAGATTCAATGCAATCCCAATCAAAATACCCATGACATTCTTCAAAGAGCTTGACAAAATTACTATAAAATTTATATGGAATCACAAAAGACCCTAGACAGCCAAAACAATCTTGTGCAAAAAGAACAATGCATGGGGGGACAGAATCACCATACTGATCTCAAATTATATTACAGAGCTGTAGTCATAAAAACAGCATGGTACTGGCACAAAAATAGACATGTAGATCAATGGAACACAATAGAACTCCCAAACATGAGTTCACATAATTTCAGTCACCTGAAAATCAAGAAACGTGCTAAGAACACACAATGGAGGAAAGATAGCATGTTCAGCAAATGGTGCTGTCAAAACTGGTTCTCCACTTGCAGAAAAATGAAACTTGACCCTTATCTTTCACCCTGCACAAAAGTCAACTACAAATGGATCAAAGACCTCAATATAAAGCCCGAAACTCAGACACTGCTAGAAGAAAAAATAGGCAGCACCCTCCAAGATATAGGTGTAGGAAATCAATCTGAGCTTTTTGATTAACTTTCAGGGTAACAACTTAGGCTGCCACTTTCATGTATATTTATAGAGGACATGAGACTTCTGAATCAGATATCATCAATAGTGATTCAGACCCAGCAATGCAGAACACCAATAATTGAATTGTTTATTGAAACTTTACTCCATGTGATAATATGGAGAGGGTCAAGGAACACATAGAGTAGCAATGAGATACAGAACAACAGAAGAATCACAAGTGTAGGAAACACAAATATTTTATGATCATCCATTGGAATTCCAGCTCTTTGCTACAGCAGGAAATAACATGTCTTCTTTCTAGCAAATGCTATTAATAATCCTGTCCTTTGCTTTAGAAGGAGATGCTATTTATACCTGCATAGAAATTTTTCTTTATACCTACACTTTTCTAAAAATATTTACTTTTATTTTTATTTATATGTTCGTGTCTGTGTATGCATACAGGTGTGTGTGGGTGGATGCAGAGGCCAGAAGAGGGGGTATGCCCTTTCATAGAACTTGAGTTATAGATGGTTGTAAACACCCAATATGGGTACCAAACTTAGGTCCTCTGGAAGAGTTTATTCAGTATTATCACATGATTCAATATATAAAATATAAATAGATTTTGTATGTATTTATTACAGTTTTTAAAAAGGAAAACAGCCAACAGATCAGGATATAGTAACATAACACACACACACACACACACACACACACACACACACACTATATTTACCATGGGGCAAATACCACGTTTTCTCTCATTTGTGGATACTAGATTTTTACAGGTGCATAAAATAAAAAGCAGAGGAAGGCAGGAGAGGGAAGGAGAGAAGGAAGGGGTATATGAGGGCACCAGTGGTCATAATACATAATAATAATGATAGTGGGTACACATTATACATTTTTCTTTCAGTGTATGTTTTTACTGAATTTTTGTGCATTTCATACAAAACATCTTGATTCTCTTCATCCTCTTTACTCATCCAATCCTGTGTGAACTCTCATCTAAATTGTGTATTTTAGTTAGTTATGTATTATTATATTGGCTCATTAATTGCAACAAGTGAAACTTATACTGAGAAACTAGGGTGCTGGTGACACAGGTTATGGAAACTCTGGTTTCTGCTCAATTTTTCTAAGAGCTTAAAACTACTGGAACAAATGAAGCTTATTAATTTTTAAATCCGAAAGAACCACCTCCAATTAAAATGATAAAAATAAGATAAATAAATAAACAGGAGGCAACCTGAGGGGGGGGGGGTCTCTGTACTTTCCCTATGTAACAAACTGCAATCACATTTAATATCTAAACTAACTCCAAATTAAAAGTATTGCAAAGAGTTGAATTTCAACCAATCACAATCAAAGGCTTTTGAGCTAATTAAAGGCAGTCAAAAGATCCAACGATGCTCACCTATGTCAAATGCCTAGTTACAATCAATCAGGTGATTTCTCTACTTTCAGACTTGGCTTACTGATCCCACTGATCCTTCTGATGGGTAGAGTGCTCTGAAAATCTTCTGATTCTGAATATTGCTGATCTCATAAATTATTATTTATTCAAATAAACTTTAAGTTGTCTTTTTCACTCTTTTAACCGGGAAGTAGTGAGTTTATTATGAAAAGTTTCATTTTAGATGTCTTTAAGATATAGAGAAAAGAGAATAATAGCAATTTGCAAACTTCAGGGCAAATCATTTCAACTTCCTGCTCTTGTAAATAATGCTTGACTTGAACATAAGCACGTTCTTTCCTGGTAATACAAGTGATTTTGACAGACATTTGTCTACAAAGCATCAAGTATCTGTTCTCTGTTCCTTTACAGAAAATGACTATTTACTCCTGTATGGGAACTGGCAGTCTAAAAGAGTTTTAGGTGGGGGGGGGTGCATGGTGAAAGGCAACAGGGGCACTCGAGAAGTTCTAGCAAATTCTTGTGGAACATTCCACCTCTAAGGGGGGGGACATATCACTAAAGGCAAGAGGGAGAGTATTGTCCCTTAAAAGAGTGCCATTTTCTTTGTTTTAAGTCTTTTTCTGCTCATTCCTATTTCTCCCCGCCTTCAAGGACTTTCAGCCTCCTGAAGGGTTCCTTTGCTGGCACTCCCTCCACCTTCCACTGGAGGTTGGAATAGTCGTATAGCAAAATCTTGAAGAATCAGCCTGAAGATTCCATTTCCCTTAAGTCCTTGGGAAGAGACAAAATAAAAGAGGCTGCATTCTCTCTTTCTCTTTCTCTTTCTCTTTCTCTTTCTCTCTCTCTCTCTCTCTCTCTCTCTCTCTCTCTCTCTCGGTCTCTCTCTCTCTTGGCATGTTAGTCAGGTCTTGCAGGTGTGGTTGGTGGATCTTCTGGTTGGTAGGCAGTTATGGTGGACTTGGATTTCCTCTGTGATTGGCTTAAAATGTGAGGCTTACTGAGAGCCTATTAGGGAGGAAAAGCTCCATCACCGAGTCATTATGATGAAATAGTTGAGGGGTGGGGCCAGGGAGCCCAGTAGGGTGGGGGATAGGAAGGAAGAGCTAAAGGGTGAGAGAAGACCTGAAGGGAGGGGAGGGGAGGGGAGGGGAAGGCATGGGCGGGGAAGGGAAAGCCCCGAAGAACAACTGGCTGAAAAGACACTGAAGGAGAGGAGAGGTACTAACACGCAGGGAGGGACTAAGGGAACAGGAACAACAAGTTGATCTGTTCTCCCAGAGCTGTGAAAACCCCTAAAGACACTCCAGTCATCATGGCCTTGAACCCTGAGGATCCCTGTAATGGGTTCCGACATAGTAATGTGTTAGTATTCATCAGCCAGCAAATGTCCAGACACGTGAAAGGCCCAGAGTTCTACCTTATTAACTAGTCCCTATCCTGGAAGGAGGTGGAAGATAATCTCAGGGTCATCTTAGAGGACAGCAAGATGCCCAGTGAGGCTCAGGGAGCCTGTGCTTGGGGTAATCTGGCCTTGGGCATCCGCTTTGCTTGCAAGCAGGGCCTGTGCCTCTGACCTGAAGCAGCTCACTCATGAGGAGGAGATGGAGCTCAAGGAGGTGGCCTTTCAGCTTCAGGTGGCCCAGGCCAAACAGGCAGAGGTGCAGAGAGAGTGTGACCTGCTGAGAGTGAAGTTCGTCCAGGCAGTAAGATTATCTCTTGACCTTATCGCGTACCCATTCCACACCTATGCCCTAGTCACTCATCTCACACTTATATTGCTGTCCCATCCCCAGAATATGTCTCAGTCATCCTCACTTCTCCCCCCAGGAGATGAAGACTCTCACAGTTGCAGTAGGACCAGCTGTGACCATACGACCAGCTACTGTCAGAGGCACAGGGACAGGGACACAAGGAGTGGGCCCAAAGGAAGATCTGCCAGCAGGTGCTACAGGAGGAAAAGAAAGGAGAGATGAGGAGGCAGGTATGGTAGCATCTGCCCTGGCAGGGGTAGTAGCTGCTCCTAAAGAGGCCACAGAGAAGCCCAGTAGAAGTTTTATGCAGCCTCATGGAACCAGGAAGTGGAAAAAATTTCCCTTGGAAAGGCAAAAGGGGAGAAATTTCAGACCCAAGGAAACATTCATGCATTCTCCCTCCCAGTGTCTGAATCTGAGATCTGTAGTCTCCTCTGAAACCATCACTGTAGAACTCCCTGCCTCGTTCACATATTCCTATGAAAGCCCCTTCCCAGCCATACCCACCACCTCCCAAGTACCAGCCATGGACAGACCACCACAGTTGCCTTCCTACACCATGGCGTCTGATTTGAGTCAAGTGTCTGATGTGGGACTCCACAGAGGAAATCGTCAGAAACTACATAAACACAAGAGAGCCCCAGCATTTCGCAGACCTGGAGACTGGGATTGCCCTTGGTGTAAAGCTGTGAATTTTTCAAGGAGGGAAAACTGTTTCCACTGTGGAAACGGAATCTGGCTGCAAAACCGTTAGTGAATTTGGAAGGGTAAATAAAGCAGAAACACACCAATGAAAAATCATTTGGGGGGAGGTGGGGCTAGGTAAGTTGAAGGGGTAAGGATCAAAGGAATGGGGTGAAGAGAGATTGGGGAGGTCTAGATGTGGGGAGGGACAAGTTTTGATGACGTCTTTTGTATTCCAGAGCATTAATATTCAACACCCCAGAAATGTTCCACCTTCTATACAGGGGGCACACATAGTGTGTCGTCCCTTCCTAATGTCTGGTGGGCCTGGACAGTCATGCACACAAAATCCCACCCTTTCCCCACACCTGGTCCTAAATGACATGAACTTGGTTATTTGACCCATTCTAAATCAAACTGATTTTCAGATGGAGGATCTGGACAGAGGTAGATTCTATATTCATACTGGGGTTGGGTAAGGAGGCAGTGGAGCACTAGGAGTTGGGGCCAGGGTCAAAGCCAATTATAATGTAGGCCTTGACTGGGACCTGGACCTGGCAGGGGTCAAGAAGAGAGGTGGCTGCATTCCATACAGACTTTTAGAGGACTACTAACACGAGGTTCCAGGGAGCTGACAAATATAGAGAAGCACGGAAGAGCTGATCAAGTGACTCCAGAGAAGTCAGCTCCCTTGTCCTTCCTGCAACTGTGTTATGTAAAGATCTGTTTTATCCAGATTCCCCTTCTCTTTAATGTAATAAATGGCTTCTTGTTATGGCCAACTAGATAATTCCCATATCAGGCTGGCAGAGGAATAATGCCATTTTTTGCTTTCTTTTATTTTTTATTCATTTTTTTTCTTGAGACAAGGTTTTCTTGTAGCCCAGGCTGGCATCAAATGCACTATGTAGCTGAAGATGTCCATGAGCTCCAAATCCTCCTGCCTCAACTTCCCAGATGCTGGGATTGCAGGCATGCATTATCAAATCTTGTACAGAAAAGCAGCTTCAAACAACAGATCATCAGAGAAACAGCAGGAATTGGCAGGACAGTTGAATTCATGGTTAGCAAGCACTGGGGAATGAAACCTTCACCCCAAGAGTCCCGAGAAATTAATTGGGTAGGAAGTTTATGTTCTGAGGGAGTTATATTACATTTAAAAATGAAGTCATGTCTGGCATGGGTGTTCCCAGGAATGAACTGGATAGGAAGCTCATGATCTGAGAGAGTTACAAGAATTAAACAATCAAATGAAGACTGGGGTGGGTTAACCCCAGGTTTACGCTTGACTCGAAATTAACACTACAGAGGTTTTACCAGCCCTGTGAGAATTCTGAAGGACTCTACAGAGGGTGCTGGCATCACAGGCAAGTAAAGACTGCTACAACTACACAGCCTCTTGCCTGGAACTTTCCCTAGGCCCCCATGGGCAGAACCAGAGACAGTCAGATCTCAACAGGCAACTCCTGACATTGCCACAAGGTGAGTTGGCAACTGATAGTGCCCAGATGGTTGGCCAAGTCTATATGATAGGCCAAAGCATGTGGTATCTGGCGGGATTCTCTATTCCAGTTCACTACCATGCTAAATGGAGGAGATTGTGACTATAAGATGATAGATAGATACATGATAGATGATTGATAGATAGATAGATAGATAGATAGATAGATGATAGATAGAAGATAGATAGATGATAGATAGATGATAGAGATAGATAGATGTAGTATGCATTTAATTTCTGTAAGTGTAGGATATGATGACATGTACTGAAGAGTCTAACATTTGGGAGACTGAAGGAAGATGATCACCACAAGTTTGAGGCTGGCTTGGGCCACTTAGTGAGTTCAAGCCCAGTTTGGACAATGTTGGAAGATTCTGTCTCAACAAAACAAATAATAACTAATCAGGGAAATCACAATTAAAATTAACTCTGATTCCATAATGTAGTACCAACTATAACATGACAGAGATAATCAGATTTGAACTTTAGCCCTTGGTCATGGAGACAACAATACAGACAGCTAAAAATGGAGATGCTTTTAGAACCAGTATTTCTGAGCTGGTGAAATGTCTCAGTGGATAAAGGCACTTGCCACTAAGACTGATCACTTGAGTTCAATTCCCAGAACCCACACAGTTGACAGAACCTACACAAGACAGGTGTCTGCTAACCTCCACCTCCACATACACACACACACACACACACACACACACACACGCACACAATTAATAAATGTACAAAAAATTTAAAACAAAACAGTATTGCTGAGGGTGAAGAAAGAGTATAGAGAATTCATGGTATCCAATGCATTTGTCCAGTACAATGAATTTTACATCTATCCAAGCTCTAGTGGCCCTCTCTGGGTTTGCCTTTGGAGGTACCAGTTTTCAAAAAGAGCCATTACAGAATACCCACACTCAGCAACACATATCGGTAAATGATAGAAAATAAAACCTCTAATCAGATTTCATTTAAAAGAAAAAGTGTTCTTCCAGCTTTGTTTCATATCATATGGGATGAAAATTAAAATTTGGTATAGGCATGTGTACAGAAATATTACCTACTATAGGATGTTTCCCTCAATGAGTTATAAATGGGGATTTTTGTAGATATTTTACACACACACACACACACACACTATATATATATATATATATTTAGTGTTATCAGCATAATTCTTTATATCTTCTCCTCAGAAAATTTCCTTCCTATTAACTATTTCTATTGGTAAGACTGGAATGGGCAGGAGGACCTTTGAAGGGAATAGAGGGGTCAATCAACAAAAACAAAGTATGCATGAAAATATCACGAGAAAACCCATTATTTTGTATGCGCATTTAAAAAACAAAGATTTTTCAGGAGCTTGAGATGTAGCTCACTTGGTGGAGTGCTTGCATAGGAAGTCCTGGGTTTTAATATGAGCACTATGTAAACCAAATGTAGTAACCAACACCCAAAAACCCAGCACTGGAAAAAACCAGGCAGGAGGATCAGAAATTCACATGGTCATCCTTCACTACACAGGGTGTTTGAGGTCAGCCTGAGGTACATGAGCTCCTATCTCAAAAACGTTAAGAAAAATGATTCATGTGAGCAAATTAAATGCCTCCAGAATCCATTGATCTGAGTGATTTAGCCAGTAAGTTAACAACTGATCTCTGTGAAAAGCCTACTCTGTTTGTACATAGAGTATTAAGAGGTTCAAGACTGAGTTAACAAAGGATAAATTTGTTCTATGAGAATAAGAAGAATATAAATATAAAGTATGGACAAACCCCTTTCCTTAAGGGGAGCCAAAGGAAGGACATTAAGGGAGGATCAGGGTAATGAGTTTAAAAATACAAACCTTCATATGTTATCTTTTAAATAAATATATATTGTTTTACAGCTGAAGGGTATGATCTGACCTGAAAATGAGCATGCTTGGAATCAGATTAGTCTTGGTTTTATTTTAATGAATTCAAAACCTCAAGGTAGACATATGCATCACTTGATTTTTTTTCACTGTTTCATAGCCATGGATTCAGTCCTTCAAACAGAAACTAGCTTATTTTGGCATGGGGACCATTCTCCACTGTAGAGAGTGAGGTCAAATGCATGAGAATGTATCCCCATCATTGAAGAAATGTGTTTGAATATATACCCAGACTAACAATGCTGAGGTGAACAGCTAAAGGTAGAGTCAAAAGCAGGAATTTACCTCCTTTAAATATAAGTCTCTATGGAGGGATCATCTGTTATAAACATGCTACATTGTTGTATATGGCTTTAATTATGCTGAGGTCTGTTCCCTCCAGTCCAGATCCTCTAGGACTTTGAACATGAATGCATGTTGAATTTTGTCAAAGGCCTTCTCTGCATCTATTGAGATGACCATGTGGTTCTTGTCTTTGAGCCCATTTATATGATTTATGACGTTTATTGACTTATGTATATTGAACCATCCCTGCATCTCTGGAATAAAGCCAACTTGATCATGGTGGATGATCTTTTTGATGTGTGTCTGTATGCAATTTGCAAGAATTTTGTTGAAAATGTTTGCATACATGTTCATTAAGGATATGCATCTATAATTTTCTCTTTTGGTTGTATCTTTACCTGGTTGTGGTATTAGAGAGATGCTGGCTTCATAGCAGTAATTTGGAAGTTCTCCCTCTGATTCTCTCTTTTAAGTAGTATTCAATATAGATCTTCCTTAAATGCCTGGTAGAATGCTGCTGTAAATCCCATCTGGTCCTGGGCTTTTTTTAGTTGGGAGGTTTTGTATTACTGTTTTAATTTGGTTTAGTTTTTGTGATTCCCATGCTTTTAGATAACCGTCCATATTTTAGGCTTCCAAATTTAGTAGTAGTATAGGTTTTTGAAGAATTCCCTTATAACACTCTGGATCTTTTTGGTGTCAGTTGTCAAGTTTCCCCTTTCATCTTTGATTTTGTTGATTTGGGGGCACTCTTTCTTTCTTTTGGTCAGCTGTGCTAAGGGTCTGTCAATCTTGTTTATCCTTTCAAAGGACCAGCTCTTGGATTTGTTGATTCTTTGTATTTTCTTTGTTTCTATTTCATTAATTTCTACTCTGATTTTGGTTATTTCTTCTTGTCTGCTGGACTTGGGTTTCATTTGTTGTTGCTTTTCAAGTGTCTTCAGTTGCAATGTTATTTATTTGTGTTCTTTTTGATTTTTTAATGTAGGCACTTAGAGCTATAAACTTCCCTCTAAGGACTGCTTTCAACATGTTCCACAAGTTCGATTGTTTGGTCATATTGTCCTTTTCATTTAGTTCTAGGAATACTTTTATTTCTTTCTTAATTTCTCCTTTGATCCATTCATCATTCAGGAGTGTGTTGTTTAATTTCCAAGTGTTCATGTAGTTACTAGGGTTTCTTCCTGTGTTGATTTTAATCCTTATTTCATTGTGTCTTATAGAATGCATGGAATTATTTCAATTTTTTGTATTCCTTGAGGCTTGTTTTATGCCCCAGTATGTGGTCAATTTTGGAGAAAGTTCCATGGGGCACTGAATAGAAAGTATAGTCTTTGGTGCTTCGGTGGAATATTCAGTAGATGTCTGT